AAATAACAAGACAGTCAGTGCCAAGCCAGGTCCGTTCTAGCTCATGCAGCAGCACTGGACAAAGTAAAGGTGCCCTCCTCGCCTGTCACCGTCACTTAAGGCCCAGCTTCAAGTCAGGGCACACAGCTGGGCAAACAGGCCTAAGCTGGGCATCGGCTGTGCATGAGGCTTCAGCCAACTTGACGTACAAATTCTTGCCATTTCACCCAGCTTTTCTCACTGCCTGTAATTATTGCTTTCTTGACCCAGAGCCCTCGGTCCCTTAAGGTAAGAAAACACAAAGTTGCAAACTAAGGATGTTAAAGATAACTGTCTCACTCTATTTGAAATGATTTTGGAGACTAGGAACGCATCTCAGTTGTTTGAGTGTCTGCCTAGCATGCATGAGGGTTTGATTCCTAGCATTGCATACGCTGAGCTTGGGAGCACACGTCTGTAATCTCAGCACTTGGGAGACAGAGACCGGAAGAACAGAAGTTCAAGGTTGTCCTCAACTATATAGTGAGTTCAAAGCCAGCCTGGACTGCATGAGACTTTTTCTCAAAATAAATGAACTAAAATAAAATAAATAAAAGTATTGAGGGGTTAACTCAGTCTCACTTGGTCAATTCCTACCTAGTCCACTCAAAGCTCACGTTCCCAGCCTAGGCTTTCCCTCTCCTCAAGGATGACCATTCCAGTTGGCCCAGGGTTCAAAACTGGAAAAGACTCCCAGGCAACAGAGAAAGGTCAGTTACCCTACAACCTAAGCTTAGCTGTCATCCAGCCTGGTTTTCTGTATTCCCCAGTGGCTGGCGAGGTTGGGCCTCTGTTCATTCAGTCATTAGATGTGTAGCTCACCTCCTCTGCTCATTGCTAATCCTCACGCCTTTGTCGCTTTCTTACTGTGTTTGAAATTTGTCTTTTAAAAACACATTAATTTATAGAGACTCTTTCAGGGTTTTAAGAAATATCCACCCACTTATTTGTTATATACTAGAAAATCTATTTCTGCCTCTATCGCTTGCCCATTAATTTCACGGATGGATTTTGTTCCCTGATCTATGAAATGTTTAGTTTTCACTTTGTCAATATATAGTTATCATTTTTTCCAGTGCCAGGGAATGAACCTAGACCTTTGTCAATGCTGAGTGCTCTATCCCAGGGCTATACCTCCAACCCTTTATCTACCTTATCTTGGTGGCTTGTGATATTCTTACCAGAAAGTGGTCTCTCCTGCCCCAAAGTTACATAAAATATGTCCCTAAATCCTATTCTACTGGGTAAATGTTTTATTTCAACAAGTAAGTATCTTGTGGAGCTAGGATTTGTTTTCATACGTGGTCATGGAACAGTTGCCTTACTTTGGAAGATATTTTGAACTTCGTTTCCAATATTTGTTTTAGTCAATGTATTGTCCTGTCTTACTGTATTAGTTAAGTCCTCCGAAGCAGTGCTGACCAGTAACTGTGACAACACCCTTTATCCCTTTGTATTCACAGAAGCAAATGTAGACCTTTGTTTGTTTTGTTGGGTTGGCTTGGGACATCTCATGTAGCCCCCCAGGCTGTCTTCAAACTAAATAAGTGATTGACGATGACCTCAAACCCCTGATGCTCTCCACCCCAAGGGTTAGGGTTACAGGTGTAAACTACCACACAGTCTTGTTTTTCTTCGGTGAATAATTTCTATTATGTTTGAGCAGTTACTACTTACACCAGTCTTTTGCAGGAAAAATGTGTCTGTCAGATACATGACAAAAAGCCACCCTCACTATGCCCTTTAGTAACAAAACTCTCATTCACATGGCACACTGTCCATCTTGGCAGTGTGTCCCTCTCTAATCTGTACTATCCCTTTGCTCAGAATAAACTTTTCTTGCTACTTTTACGAGTCTTCTTGAACCCTTGTTTTCAGTTCTTTGCATAAGAGACCAACAACCTGGGAACACCCAGCCTAGATCCTGACTGCCCATAACAAGGCTGGTTGGTCCTGGCAGCTGGTTGGTCCTGGTAACTGATTAGTCCAGGTAGCCGGTTGGTCCTGGTAGCTGGTTGGTCCTGGTATGGTTGGTCCTGGTAGCTGGTTGGTCCTGGTATGGTTGGTCCTGGTAGATGTTTGGTCCTGGTAGCTGATGGTTGGTCCTGGTAGCTGATGGTTGGTCCTGGTAGCTGATAGTTGGTCTAGGAAGCTTAACTCCAGGTTTTAATGTCTCCTGGAGATCTCTTTCATCTATTCTTTCATTCCGTGATTCCGTGGAAACGTGGAATTTTCAATTATTTCATCCCATATAAAACTTTAAATTACTTTATCTCATTTTTGAAAGCAGGAATCTACAGTGCCATTAAAATTTTATTCTAATGTCTTAAATTTATATATTAGTTTCTGAAGGACTGTCATTTTTATGATATCAAGTCTATCCATATAAAAATATGGCTTGTACATCTCCATTAGTTGAAAGATTTTTTTATGTCCTATAATACATTTATATCATTTTATTGGTATAAATAGCATGCATTTCATTGTTAAATACAACCCTTGGATTTTGTGCTGTTTGTTGCTATTATGAATGGGCTATTTTTTCCACTTTCCTTCCCAGAGGTTTATTGCTTCCATTGATCAAAGTTCTGTGTTTATATATTTATCTATCTGTGCTACCAAGTTCTCACACTAATTTTAATATTATTTTATTAAAATCTCTTAGGTTGTCCAGGCACCTGTAAAATATATTTTTATCTTCTTTGCAATCAACTCATTTTTCTGTCTTGCTGCATTATTTAAATTCTCCAGAGCTATGTTAATCAGCCATGGTGGCAACTGTCTTTTTCTAGAATTAATAGGAGTAACTTCAGTTTTTTTCTTTTTCATAAAATGTTTGTTGTTGGTTTTTAGCACAACTAAGGTTTTGGGTTTTTTTTTACATTTAAAGGATTTCTGTTGATTCGTGCCAAACCGTGTATTAGGGAAAGAACTGTATGTGCCTTCAGATGCATGGAGGAACTGTCACCAAATGTCTAGGAAACTGGCTGTGTAAACAGTGAGAAACTCATAAGATTTTATGATGAGGCAGCTTATAACAATTAAAAGCAGGGTCATTTCCTATCTTCCCCCGGAAGGAACCACACAGCCAGCCTGTACAGTCCATCCTCCCATGTCATGCCTGGCTGGCTTCGGGTCACCGGATAAAGGCTTAGCAGCCAAAGGGTGCCCACACAATGGGTTTCCAGTCCAAGGGAGGGAGCCAGCAACAGGCAGAGGAGGAGGATCACGGGAGAGGTGGAAAACAGCGAGGGAGAGGTGGGAAGGCCAGCATCCCTGGGAGGGGTTAGTGGTTAGAAAGAAGAAGCCCTGTAAGGGTCCAGGACAGTGTGACTAGAGCTGGGACAGAGTTTGAAGTGGTCCTCTCCCAGCTGGTGCTTCCTGCCTTCCATACTTCGTCCTTTGAAGGTCCAATTGATGCTTACCCACCTTTACCTGTATGGATCCTTAACAGACCCTTGAGCACAAAAGCTTGATTGCAAACCCCAACTTGGCACCAGCCAGCCTACCAGCTGTGCATAGCTTTGTTCCAGGCTCGCTTCGGCTCTGATGTGTGCTAAGGTATGGTCACGTCACAGACCTGGTATTTTGAGACCAGTATCTAACCCTGTTGTCCCTGCAGAGCTCCTGAAGCAAGTAGCTAATAGTCTATTTGTTTTTCTAACTGTCTCCGGAGACAAATCTATGCAGGGCAGAGATCTGCATAAAGAGCAAGCAGCTCCACTGCCCTAGCTGGAGGGTAAAGCCGCATTGGTATTCGGGGCACAGAAGTAGAGGCTGACTTTAAGCCACAATTTGCATTTTCTTCTTGGAGAACTGTGTATTGGGGATGTTAGAGTCCTCTGTACGTGGGGAGCTCTCATTTAGCCTTATATAAATGGACTCTGGTTGAACCCATGTAGCTCAGGAAGGCTTCTGAAAGTGGGCAGGCAGCGTTTTCTCTGGAATAGCTTTCAATAATTCTGTAACAACTGGCTCCTGGCCTGAAGGAAAAGCCGACCTTAACTCCAGGCCTTTCCCTGAAAGAGGGTTCTGGAAGAGATGGCTCAAACTGCAATTTCAGAGATTTGAAAGAAGTTCCTATCCCTAGACTGGACCAGCAGAAGACAGCATTGCTTGGGGGATTCTCCTTACGTTACAAGATACTTTCACGGTAGGGAAAAAAAAATAAGGTAAATATTTAAATGAGCAGTGAAAAGGGCAGAGTAAGAAGACACACAGCTCTGCTGTAGTTTTGATTAGAACATCCCCAAAGGCCCTGTGTTAAAGGCGGGCTCCCCAGGTTGGCACTGTTGGGAAGCAGTGTAGGGCTTCGTGGGAGGCCTTTGAAGTCATGTCTTTGAATAGGTATTGCCGCCCTAGACCCCATTCTCTTCCATTTCCCAACCATGAGATAAGTGGCCATGTATCCCCACCATCATGTCACTATGCTGCCACAGATCCCAAGTCAGTGGAGCAAACTGAGCAAGGGCTGAAATCTCTGAGACTGTGAGCCCAGTTAAGGCTTTCACAAGACAACCATGTCAGGCATTTAGTACGGTGACGGAAGCCACCTAACGTGTCTAGCCTTCAAACTCATCCAAAGAAAAAGGCTGAATTCAGTTTGATTCAGATTGATAGAGATGTCCTGGGACCAGGACACCTCTTCTCTGTGTGGTTGCTGCAGCCACTGGATGAGAGTAACTTCTTTATTCTATCAGCTAATTCACACGATATCATTTGTTAAAGTCAGTTGTGACCTCTCAGCTAAATTCACCCAGGCTAAAAGTCTTTACTTCATCCTATTATACATAGGATGTATGTATATGTATGTATGCTATGTATATACATATATACATAGCAAAGCCACTGTGGGATCTGAAAGAGAAGTGTATGTGTGGGTATGAGTGATATAGTACATGTATATGGTCAGGACGCTTTTGAACCAAATATGCTCAGAATACACAGATCTATATAGACTTGTTCCAGTCAGAGACAGTGTATGCATGCCCTTGAGAGACACTGCATATGTGCCTCTCAGTGTCTCGTGATCATTTTTATATTGCCGACCAGATTACAAAGTCCTTTGAAGACAGGAATAATGTCTCAGAGTTCAGCCTTCCCTGGAAGCTGGTTCAGTGTTGTGCCTCAGTAGTGCTACTTAAGACTTGAAAGGGCTGGCTTGGCATTTATTTCTTCAGGGAAGTTCCTGTGGCTGGGGACACTACTGTAGAGTGGAAAAGCCAGAGGCAGGAGGATGAGGACCCAGAAATATAACACCCGGAAGAGGTAAGGACTCCAAAGGAAGCTAGAATGGAAAAAACAGACATCAATAAAGCTAGTAAAGAAACAAGTCCCCCGACTCCACATGCCAGCACATCCTCCCTCCCTCCCTCCGTCTCCCTCTGTGTGTGTGTGTATGTATGTGTGCACACACGTATGTGTAGTTGCATGTGCATGTGTGTGCAAATGTTTATGGAGGTCAGCCTCAAGTGTGGTTCTTCAGGAGCTGTCTCTACACCTTGGTTTTTGAGACAGGGTCTCTCTCTCTGGAACCTGGGACTCCAGGATCAGGCTAGATGCCTAGTGAGCACCTCTGCCTCTTCAGCACCAGGATGGTTTTTATGTGGATGCTAGGGATTGAGTTCAGGTCCTCATTCCTGTGCAGCAAGCCAGAGCCATCTCCCCAGACACCCTTGACCAACTAGAAAGGAGGGTTACTCACCCATTAAACAAACCTCCCTACCCTAGACAATACCAGGAAGCATTTGTCCACTCAGGGGCACAATTTTGGGTGAGTGTATTTGCTTGTCTGGACTTCCCGAGGCAGTTCTGTGAGAAGCTCCCGGACTTTCTGGAGAGAGTGTTGCTCTTCCAGGTCTGGTGCAGCCACTGCTCCATTTCCTCCAGTCACTCTTCCAGAATGGACAAGGGGACATGAAGTTGAGGACCCTTTTCCTACAAAACAGCTTTGGAATAATGTTTGGAAATGAAAGGAGAGCTGGATTGGCAGGGACAGTGTGGGGCTGTACAAACCTTTACACACACACACACACACACACACACACACACACACACACACACACACGGAGGGGGATCCAGTTTGATTGGGCTGGTTAGGACAACAGAGGAAGGGTGAGATACAGAGGGCATTCCTGGGTCTCTGCCTCTACTCCCCTCCCCTACCCCTGGGCTCTGGACTCCTCCTAGGGGTGTCTGTTTACCTGGTTGTCATAAACCTGAGCCTCCGGCTCATCGCCTGCATGGCCTGCCTCTCCTGACACTTCAGTTTCTCTGGGGTGATGCCTGCACTTCATTTAATTTTGCAGCTAGTCACGGTTCTGTGATTCTAAGGCAGAGGGAGGAGCGGGTTATTTATAAAGCCCTGGCTGCCGCTCCAGCTACCTACCCTCTGCTCCAGTCTCCTCCCTGGCTCCCAGCTCCCAGCCACCCCACCATTCACTCAGAGTCAGGGTAGATGGGGATTCTTTCCTGGTCCATTGAGCTGTCAGAGCCCCAAGGCTGGCTGCGTGACTGTATACTCTCCTCTCTAGATTAAAAACAGTCTTTATAAAAAATGCATCTGTCCAGGGTGAGAACTCATGGCAAAAATCAGCTTCTTGGGACTTTGCTGGCATCTGGGGAATTGCTCATTATTGGGGGAGTCAAGGAAGGCACTTTCCTACCTTCCTGTACACAGTCCCTCTCATTTTGCTCATGGCCATTTTGTAACACGATGAAATCGTTCCTTGGGGAAGCGGGGTCTTGACTGTGCTGTGCACATTGGCTTGGCTGGCATTCTATTTTGCTTCTCTTTGCTTCTCTTCTATTCTTGGTCTTCCTTGAGAATATTCAGCAATGTCCAAAGCTTGAGCATCTGTTTTCTCCTCTACTTCCCTATTCTTGGTCCCCAAATCCCCCAAGCACTATGGCTAACAGTGTTAGAAGCTCTCAGGTCAGATTCCAGCCTTGCCATCTGTTGTGTGTGTGGCCTTGGACAATTACCTCATCTTTCCCTCTTCATTTGTAGTGCAGGCATGAGTCAGGGGTTGAGGTAATGCACACATGAAGTCTTGCTTGTCCCTCTGTCTGCTCCCTAAGCCTGCAGCCATCATTCTAACTTTGGAAAGCAAGCTTCCAATGACAAAGGAAGACCCACACATGTATGAAAGATCTCTGGAATTTTGCACGACCCCAGAAGATTCAGGATGTGTACCACAAGGGACATATGCGATAAATGCTGACCCAGGAAGGCTTTATCTCTGGCCTTTGGAAACTAAGTGCAGCACAGGATGGAGACAGAGAAAGACAAGAGAACAAGACAAGGGAGCGGACTGACTAAAATGAAGATTTTCTCCATTCATGGGACCATATTCCTCCCCTTCTCCCAAGCCTCTTTCTCTACCCATAGATTAAGGTAATTTCCAGCGAGTTATATTTTGGTGCGCTGCCTGACCTAGAAGAGGTGCTCAGAGATCTGAGCTGTCTCTGCCATGGGACCCAGGCACTCATGGTGTGATGAGCACTGCTTTCGGCAGGAGCCAAATTTCTGTGTGCAGAAGGCAAAAGCAGGAGACGTCTCCTGTCCTTAAGAAACACACAGAGATTCCCAAGGTACTCCCACACGAATGATCTTACCTAAGGACAGTGGTTCTCAACCCTTGGGGTTGAACAACCCTTTCACAGGGGTGACACAAAACCATCCTGCATATCAGATATTTGTATTATGATTCATAACAGTAGCAAAATTACAGTTATGGAGTAGCCATGAAAATAGTTCTGTGGTTGGGGGTCACCGTATTAGGAAGGTTGAGAGTCACTGCCTCAGAAGATGCCAGCCACAGCCTTGAGCGAACACAGCAGTGTTGGCTCCTTTTGAGGGATAGGAATGTTTTCTTAGTCCAGTCCGGCTACTGTAGCAAAGTATCACCACCAAGGGCTTCAATCTTCTGTCATCTACTCCTCACTGTTCCAAAGGCTGCAGGTTCAGGGTCAAGGCACCAGCAGATCCAGGTTCTAGTGACGGCCCACTGCCTCCCAGCCATCATCTTCACACTCTGACTGTGCACAGTGGACGGGACAAGGGCGCTCTCCGGTTCTCTTTCATAAGGGCAATGATCTCATTCGAAACCATTTTGCCTTGTAATCTAATCAGCTTCCCAGTGCCCCACTTCCTGAAACCATGACCAAGGAGATCAACTTATCTAATCTATAGCAGCGAAGCTCAAGACCACATACCTTGAGAGGTACAGGCAGTTCCTGCACCTGCTGTCCTATCCCACGCACAGTCTGTGGGTCACACCCACAGCTACGGCCCCTCATGTAGCTCTGTGGAAATGGCCGTGCCCTCAGAAGAGTGCCTGCATCACAGGAGGTGGAAGAATCAGGTTATTCCAGGAAAGAAATCCAGTGGTTGTGACCAGTGCTGTTGTTTTTTAATAATTTACTTAACTGTGTTTTCTGTGCATTGGTGTGAGTTTCAGATGCCCTGGAACTGGAGCTACAGACAGTTGTGAGCTGCCATGTGGGTGCTGGGAGTTGAACCTGGGTCCTTCGGAAGAGCAGCCAGTGCTCTTAACCACTGAGCCATCTCTCCAGCCCCCAGTGTTGTTTTTAAAACAAATGCAGAATAATGGGAGTGGGATGAAATGGAACGAAGCAGAACAAAATAGAACTACTTCTGAGTTTAGTGCACCTAATGAAGAAATACTATTGTCCTCGTTAGGGTTTCTATTGCTGTGATGAAACACCAGGACCAGAAGCAAGTTGAGGAGGAAAGAGTTTACTTATATTCCACATCATAGTCCATCAGTGAAGGAAGTCAGAGCAGGAACCTGGAGGCAGGAGCTGATGCAGAGGCCATTGAGGGGTGCTGCTTACTGACTGGTTTGTTCCTCATGGTTTGCTCAGCCAGCTTTCTTATAGAACCCAGGATCTCCAGCCCAGGGATGGTACCACCCATAATTGTCTGGACCCACCCCCATCAACCACTAATTAAGAAAATGTTCTACAGGCTTGCCTACAGCCTGATCTTATGGGGATATTTTCTCAGTTGCGGTTCCCTTCTCTCAGATGACTCTCTAGCTTGCATCAAGTTGACATAAAACAAGCCAGCACAATTATTTTATAGAGGTTTTGTTTCATTGGAGTATGTGTTTGGGCGTATGAACTTGATATAAAAAAACTATCTTTGGATAGAGTCATTATCAACAAACTTAATACCTTATTAGATACTGAAATTTCTACTGATTGCTGACTGCCATATTCAAGACAAACTACCTTCCCCCAAACCATTCTTGTTCTTCATTAGTTTTTGCCTCCTATTTCTTTAGTCCATTGCAGTGACATTCATTAACACCTGTCCTTATCACATAGGACACATCTTCCAGCTCCTTAAACTTCAGAATCTTCACGTAACTTATGGGATGAAATCAGGTTCCTGCTGGCTCCCAGTGGCCAGCCAGGTTTCTGGCTATGTCTTCCCCAGCCCCTTGGTGCTAGAGGTCCTGTCCTGTCTGTCTTTCCAGGGTACCTTGTGTCTGAGAACATCTTCTCTCCTTCCCATACCTTCACCCTCTGGGCTCTGACTTCTAATTCTCTCTGATGTTCTCCTCATACACAGGCCGTGGAAATTCCCCATAATAAGTCCACAGGTACTGAGCCCTGTGTTGCTGAATCAGTGCCTTAAAAACCACTGTATGACACCTTGACATGTTTTACCAATAAGCTTACATTGTATGAGGTGCAGTGGGGCTTTTAAATACCTGAATCCCGTGTGTAAGGGTTTGATGGGACAGCCAGCAGAGCTGTTGCCTCAGATACAGGACTTCTTTGTTTTAGAAGCACAACACAAAAAACACACACCACTTCTCAACAAATTTCTCTGTGCTGTTTTTTTATGGTGTGTGTGTGTGTGTGTGTGTGTGTGTGAGAGAGAGAGAGAGAGAGAGAGAGAGAGAGAGAGAGAGAGAGAGAGAGAGAGAGAAAGAAAGAGAGATCTAAGATTGATCTTGGCTATGCTCCTCAATGACTTTCTGCTCTCTCACTGAACCGGGAGTGAATCAGTTCAGGTAGACGGCTAAGCCATCTCCCCTTGATCCATCTTTGGCAGCGGCTGTACTGATGGAAAATGGGGCCACACAAACAGAAAGGCATGTGCTGCTGTGCACAGTGGTACATGAAGGAGCTCTGTGATGGCAGCAAATTGAGCATGAAGTTGAGGATAGAGTCGGTGTTTTGCATCTTTTCCTTCCACTGTGATGTATCTGTGGTCTCCCAGGCAGATCGATCTGTGGCTCACCAAGATGCTGGGACAAGAAAGCCTCTGAATTTACCACCACAAAGAGAAATCACAGAGTTGCAACCAATTTCAGGGTTCTATTTCCCTCTTCCTTCAGGCGACAATTTGCAGTGTTGTCTATATAGCAATCAGTGGAATAATGAGTGAATTTTAAGTTCCTTCTGGAGTCTCACATTGATGAAAAAGGATTGTTTTAACCAGACTACAGGGTGAGGTGAACCAGGGATCCCATCCACTGTCAGAAACATGGAGCTACTTCTCCCTGGGACTCAAGGGTGGACAGGGCTGCTGTCTGCTAGAGCATGAGACTACCAAGTTATTGCACATGCACCAACTTCATGAGAACTCAGCCCGGTTTCTCATAAATACCTAATGACCCGTTATGCCCATCTTCCCTGGCTTTGGCCTTTCTTTCTTTCTAACACGTCCCACCTCCCAACCTTCTTGTGTGGACAGTTGCTGAAGCAGAGTGGAAAGAGCTCTCTGTCTGAAGCTGCTCTTGCTTGGCACTTCCCCCTTTCAGCCCTGGCGTCCCCACCCCTTCCTCTTGTCTCCAGGAAGCACTTTGTCAATAAATCACTCACACCTAAGTTCTCATTTCACCATCTGCTGTACTGAATCTGCCATAGGTGCTGGTTTTGTAATGTTAACTAGAATAAGTGCTTAAAGAACATTCCACATCCTCCAACACCTAGTACAGCTGCCCACTGCCGACTTCAGAGAGGGTGCTCGCTCACACAGTCTTCAGACTGTGGCTACCAGGTCAACTTGCCATGAATCCCAAAGTCCCCTAAATATACCTCTGAGCTAAACGTACCTTTTGTGAGAAGTGCTACTGTTTGCGAGCTGGGAAAACAATTCCATAGGTAAGAGCACTTGCTTCACAAGCATGAGGATCTGGGTTTGAATCCCTGGCATCCATGTTAACATTGGTCATGGCTGTACATGCCTGTAACCCCATCCCTGGGGGAAAAGGGGCAGGCAGATCCAGGGAGCTCACTGACAGGTCAGCATAGCCAAACTGGTGAGCTTCTGATCCAATGACAGAACCAGTCTCAAGGAAATACAGCGGAGAGTTATAGAGAAGGACTTCTAGATCTTTCTCCATCTTCCATACCTGTACCTGGGTGCACACATCTGCACAAACTACAAACACACACCACACACATCACACAAAAAGAAATAGAATAAAATGAAACTTAAAAAGAATGAGAAGGAGGAGAAAGAGGAGGAGGAAGAAGAGGCGGAGGAGGAGCTTTCCATGTCTCAAACCAGCCCTGGAGAACATTCAAGGGAGAAAAACATCTCTGAGTGCATGAGCTAGTGCCAGAACTATGCAAGGTACTATAGAGATGTGCTGACATTTCCCCCCGAAAGAGAACAAACCGAAATCCTTCCCTCATCCCATGATGAAATTCTTCCATCCTCCCCATGTAAGCTGAGCTTCAGTACACTGTCCTCAACAGACCTGGGGGTGGGTGATGGTGAGTGAAAAAAGACCAGGCTGAATGTGAGACATCATCTCAGAGTGTGAATTGTGAATTGAGACATCTTCTCAGAGTGTGAACTGTGAATGTGAGACATCTTCTCAGAGTGTGAACTGTGAATGTGAGACATCTTCTCAGAGTGTGAATTGTGAATGTGGGACATCTTCTCAGAGTGTGAATTGTGAATGTGAGACATCATCTCAGAGTATTAATTCTGAATGTGAGACATCTCAATGTGTGAACTGTGAATGTGATACATCTTCTCAGAGTGTGAACTGTGAATGTGAGACATCTTCTCAGAGTGTGAGTTGTGAACATAAGACATCTTCTCAGAGTGTGAGTTGTGAACATAAGACATCTTCTCAGAGTGTGAGTTGTGAACATAAGACATCTTCTCAGAGTGTGAGTTGTGAACATAAGACATCTTCTCAGAGTGTGAGTTGTGAACATAAGACATCTTCTCAGAGTGTGAGTTGTGAACATAAGACATCTTCTCAGAGTGTGAGTTGTGAACATGAGACATCTTCTCAGAGTGTGAATTGTGCTTAAGAGTTTCTAGGAACCCAGCCATGGTGGTACATACCTGTAATATCAGCACTTGGAAAGCCTGAAGCAGGAGAATTGGGCTATTTGGTGAGACCCTGTCTGAAAAACAAAAATGAAGCAGACAAAAAAAAAAGAGTTACTGGGATTTTTTTTAAAGTTAAGCATTTTAAACAATTTAAAGCATTACCTTAATTTTGCAACAAGAGGATGAAGAACTGAGTATAAGTTTTCAATGCTTTGGACCACCTAAGAAGATGCTCCATAACTTCAGGAATAAAGAAGTTCTTTTTCCTTCCCTGTCTGGTGGATTCAGAAATAAGTTGCTATGCAATAGTGATATTCCTTGTGCTTATCCTTCTTGGTTGTCAATTTGATTGGATCAAAGATAACCTAGGAGACTGGGAGAGCACACTTCTAGGTGCACCTGTAAAGGCCTTTCACAGAGGATTACTAAAGGAGAAGAACTTCTCTGTGTAGGTAGCATTGTCCCATGAGCTGGGGCCCAGATACAATACAGATGGGGTGGGAAGAAAACCACTCAGCTAGTGCTGTGTTCTATCTGCTTCCTGTCCCATGATGCTCCAGTAATTCTCATGATGCTCCTGCATGCCTTTCCACCATGATGGACTGGAACCTTTGAAATGATAAACAAAATAAACAATTGGCCCCCTATGTTCTTTTTCTGTGGCCTCTGTCATAGCAACAGAAAAACTAACAGACTCCCTGACTTAGTTATTTTTCTATTGCTGTGGTAAAACACCATGACCAAGGCAGCTTGTAGAAGGAATGGCTTATTTGGGATTGTAGTTCCAGAGGTCTAGAGTCCATAATGCTGGGGACAGCATGACAGCAGAAAACATGACAACTGGGACTGGAAGCTGAGAGCTGATGACTCACATCTCAAACTTCGAGCAGGATGGAGAGAGAGGGAGAGAAGTGGAAATAGCACATGGCTTTGAAACCTCAAAGCCTACCCCCAGTGAGTTCCCTTCCTTCAACAAGACCACACCTCCCGAGCCTATACAGACAGCTCTACCAACATTCCCAAGACCGTGGGGAATATCATCAATCAAACCAGCATACTTCCTTTCTTCCTTACTAACCAAAGCCAGGTTCTGTTAGGAGACCCACCAGGGAATTGACAGTAACTGCTAACATTTCCTAGCTCCCCTTAAAATCATGGCGGCCAGCTGTCCATTCTGGACGGCAGTGTAAATAGAAATGACCAAGTGGACATCACAGAGAGAAAGCTCCTTCGGGCAGTTGTGTTTGGCTTGAGTCTCCTTTTAGCTTTGGCCTTTTTCCTACTTTCCTGGGAGTGCAGCCTCATCTCAGCATCTGTTTCTGAAACAAACTTGGCCCTGACACCTCTGAGTCATTGAAACATACCCCGAGCATCTAGCTCTGAAACTGTTGTATTCAAAGAAAAATCGAACTCCTAACATTTGGAAACCACTGTTTTTCGAGTTCCTCTTACACCTGGTTGCAGTTCTTCATTAATACAGTGTCCAAGGTTGGGGGATTTTTCAGTAATTCTCAATCCTTTACATTTACCCCCCTTTTACTGTGTGTGTGAGTGCGTGTGTGTGTGTGTGTGTGTGTGTGTGTGTGTGTGTGTGTGTGTGTGTGTATGAGCATGTGAGTATGGAGTCCAGAGGTAGATGTATATATGTCCAGGGATCTTCCATTAACTCCATTATCACTTTCCTCCTCATCTTTTGAGGCACAATCTCTCAGTGAACTGGGTACATGCTGACTGCACTGACTGCTTGGCCAATGAGTTCTAGGAGTCTACCTGTCCTTGACCCTTCTCCTGCCTCAGCCCTAGGGTTACAGACAGGTGTGACCATACCCAGCCTTTTTACAAGCTCAAGTTCTCACACTCATGTAGCAAGCCCTGTACCCAATGAACCATCCCCAAAGCTTCCTCCTTTCAATATTTTACCTTCTGAGCTGGTTTCTTATCATGTTATTTGCACTGTAGGGGATTTGATTGATTGATTAATTGATTGATTTTTGAGAAAAATAACTGGATTTTAATTCATCGATTCATAGACCTTCATTTGCAAGAGGTTAACATCTCGATTCTACCACTGGAATGAGTCAGGTTACAGAAAATAGAATTCAAGTCTATGAGCTTCTTTTCCTATGTTTCCAATTGGGGGTGCTAGAGGATCAAGAGTATGCTGGGTTAAGGGACAAAGGAGAAGCCACCCAGCTGGAACTAAGCACAAAGACCCAGGACCCATTCATTCCCTATGAAGGCTCATACTCCTGTGTCTTCCCTCCAGCCATCTTCTTACCACCTCCGGCTGCCCATATGAAGTCACTTGGAAAGTTTGATCCTGAGGCTGCTGGAGTCCTGCTCTTTATTAGACACTGTAACACGAATCTTAAAAGGTCTTATTAATAAAAACAAACTCAGAGCCAGGTATGGGGTGAACGTTGAAGGATCAGAGAGACAGAACCAGCCACAACTACCTTACCTCACCAGTTCCTCAGCTGATCCTGTTTCCTCAGACTGGAAGCCTCTGTGTCCTCATCTGAATGGGTCTCAGCTGAACTGTG